TAATAATTAAATGAGTATAAAATTTACAGTTTATTGGCTTTAATTATTCTTAGTGAAGAGAATATCCATTTCTAAATACATTTTTACTTCTAGCCTGATAAATGCAAAACTTCCGTAAACACTCGTTAATGTCTCTTCACTGCGGCAAACATTACCTACTTGAACACTTTAGGGCCAACACTTTGACCCATTCTATAAGGTCATAATAGGGCTTTCATTATGGCATCTTGCCAGCAATCAGGTCCTTTTTGGAGAAGGTTGAAAAAGTATACTTCCTATTTAATTTTTTCTTATATTCATACTAAATATATTTTGATACTCTCAGTTGATATCGAATAAGAATATAGTGCACAAATTTAGTCGGGGAGAGGCTCCAGATGTTCTCGTATTCTAAACATTTCAGCTCGAAATAAGATAGCCATAGTCTTTTACTCCGTTTATAATGAGATTGAAACAGATTGCTACCACTGCATTATGGTTCCACTAAACCAAGCTTACCCATTTCGCTTGCTTGCTTATTTAAGGTGAGGGAGAACGATTAAGGTTTCCTATTGGTCTTTTAATTGTCAGAATAAATCTTTATTCTCTCCAACGTTTCCAGGATTTTCCATTCTTTCTTAATACTGATCTGATTTAATTAGATGCCAATTATTCATCTAATTTAAATACTTTCAAGCGTATAATCTAAATTTCTACCTCATTCAGCTACTGCAGACTACTTTTCAGCGCAACAAAGCCGAGTCCACCTATGGTGTCTGGCTTAATCCTATTACCCGACTGGCTCAGATCTGCAGGGCATACCACTTGTCTGGCCTAGAAGTAATTCCTACATGCGATGACGTCCGCACCAGCAATGCCTACAGTGACGGTATCCCAACTTCAATCATCCAGCCCGTCTGTGCAAGTAAGCCAGAGGTTACATGCAACAAGGCTCAAACGAGGCCGTCTTCAGTAACGATCTATTCATCTCCGGTGTATAAGCTTGTACCTTGTTCTGATCCCTCGATTGTTTCCGGCACCAAGCCTGAATTTTTATATCAGGTATTTATCTCATTAATCAAGAACTATCTTTATTGATCTTTTATGTATCTTATATTCCCAAGCAAATGGGTTAGTTTCTTAGGCTTAAACAGTTCTAACAGCTCTACTATCTTCAGC